TTTTAAAGAAAAGTGTCACAAGTGTGATAGTATTATTTGTGTACAATCATTTAGCGCATGCAAATAAAAAATCACTGTTAACTGAAGCTGAATGGATCAAATCATTTGCACACAGCAGAGTCGCCCACTGGCACTAGCTCAAACGAGGAACATTTGCAACTGCAAACAAAAACCAAATCATTACGACACTGCCCAAAGCAACAGAAGAAATACTCAGAGGAGTTGATTCGTTATCTTTCTGCTACCAGATGAGCAGAGGAGCAAGGGAGGAAGGCGGGAGATAAGAGAACAGGAAGTCTCTATTGACTTGGATTAATTGAGTTTCTGTTAGATTTGGTTCAGGGTTAAAGAGATTGACACATGGCAGTACCACACACACACACACACACATCCACATGTCCCACTGACCTGCCCTGATCGATGTAGTCAACAGCCAGAGTGCTCAAAAAGAAAATGACGAGAACAGCTATGAACATGTGGTAAATGGTCCGGATGTGGCTGATCTCGAACAGTTCGCTGAGAAAGAAGAGAAAAGACAAATAAATACACAACAAAATCAATAAAATGGCCCCATGTTTGATAAATCTGTGCAAACTCTGCTGTGAATATTGTAAAGGTTTACAAAAACGTGCTAGTCCCATCTAAGTTTGCAGTTTGATTGGGTGCGCCTTGCTAGCTCTGGGTTGGACTCCCTTTTGTGTCGCCGATTCATGAAGGTACCGGGGACATTCCTCAGAGATTTAAGGCCATATTGAAGCGACAGCATCAGACTTATCTGATGCATGAGGTAAATCTCATGTTCCATCACAAACCAAAGGTGCTCTCAGATTGAGATGGCATGTGACTGTGCAGGACGTTTGAGTACAGATGGCTCATGTTTATGCTGCTGGAAGCAGCCATCAGTAGATGGAGAGGGTCAGTAATGATGCGTAGGTAGGCTGTCACATTTAAATGATGGCCACTTGGTACTAAGGGGCCCAAGGTGTGCCAAAATTATGCCCCACATCATCAAAGCATCACCAGCCTGACCCATAGACACAAACGGGATGAATACATTCTTCATGTCGTTTACACCAAATTCTGACCATCTGAATATAGCAGCATATATTTAGACTTTAGATTTAGGCAACGTTGTTTCAGTCTCCATTGTTCAGTGTGTATGTC